ACTGCTGCTACTACTGCTACCACTACTACCACTACCACTACCTCTACTACTACCACTCCTACTACTACTACTACTACTACTACTACTACTACCACTACTACTTACTACTACTCCGACTACTGCTATTGCGATTATTACTATGACTACGGCTACGATTACGACTACGACTAGCACTGCGACGTTTACTGTTTCTACGACTATTGCTACTACTACTATTCCTACTACTACGACTACTACGACAACTCTTACTACTACTATTATTATTACTACTACCACTACTACCACTACTACTACTACGACTACTACTACTACTACTACTACTACCCCCACTACTGGTACTACTATTATTACTATTGCTTCTATTACTACTACGACGGCTACTACTACTACTACTACTATCTCCACTACTACTACTATTACTACTAGTACTACTACTACTACTACTACTACTACCACTACTCCCACTACTACTTCTACTCCTACTACTACTACTACTACTACTACTACTACCACTACTACTACTACTAACTACACCTATTACTACTACTACTACTACTACTACTACTACTACTACTACTCAGACTACTACTACTACTACCACTACTACTACTACTACTACTTCTACTACTACTACTAATACTACTACTACGACTACGACTACTATTACTACTATTACTGCTACTACTACTACTATTACGACTACTACTAATAATACAAATTGTTTCTGCCAGTATTTCTATTTTTGTTACCACTACTACCACTACCCAAACGATTGCTACCACCAACGCAATTACAATTACTACTAATACTACTACGACTACTACTACTACTACCACCACTACTGGCACTACTATTATTACTTTTGCTTCTATTACTACTACGACGGCTACTACTACTACTACTACTACTACTACTATCTCCACTACTACTACTACTACTACTACTACTACTACCACCACCACCACTACTACTACTACTACTACTACTACTACTACTACTCCCACTACTACTACTACTCTACTACTACTACTACTACACCTCCACTACGACACGACTAACGACTGTTTACGGTTACGACTACTCCGACTACTAACTACTACTAATACACTACTATACTACTTCACTCTACTACTATCACTACTACTATTATCTACTACTTCTACTACAAACTACAACTAACTACATGACTACGACTACGACTACTACTAACAACTACTACAACTCTACTACTAAACTCTCAATACAGATATACTGCAAACTACGACTAGTACTACTACTACGACTACGACTACGACTACGACTACGACGACGACGACGACGACGACGACTACGACTACGACGACGACGACTACTAGTACTCCTGCTACTACTAACCACGCGTCTTGGAGGGCACTTTATCGCCCCAGAGCTTGTCTCGGTTTGTTTCGTCAGGGGCGCTGGGGCCGTCATAATTCTGGAGATCGGGTCTTTGCGACTTGGTCAGACCGCCGCACTGGCAGACACTACCGGGCCACACGCACATCGTTCCAATGGGGGCGAGCACCGTCGGGATCAAACGCCGAAGGTTTTGGTGGGGATCGCTCGAAACGAGACAAGTTTGAGGCTGAAGGGCCGGGCAGTGGGGCACGCCCCGGGCGGTTCCCCCGGCATCCGCCCGCGGTTCCCCCGGTGACGTTCTTTTAGATTCGCGGTGCTTGTCTCATCTTAGCTTTGCATATTTCATCTTAGCTTAGCTTAGCTTAGCTTCATCTTAGCTCAGGTTTATATTAGCTTAGTTTACCTTCATCTTAGTTTCGCTGAGCTCTAGCATAGCAGAGCACAGCATAGCATAGCATAGCGCAGCATTGCATGTCATAGCATAGCCCAGCATAGCATAGCATAGTGCAGCATAGCATAGCATAGCATAGCGCAGCACAGCACAGCACAGCATAGCACAGCGCAGCATAGCATAGAATAGCAACTTCTAGGTAGGGTCGCACTGGGGTAATTTCATTCTGGGAAGCCGATTGGTGCCGGTGAACGTCCACGAGAGGGGCGATGTGGAGACCAGGCAGGCAGAGCGGGGGATGCGAGGGCCGAGATGGAGCCAGAATTGGTTACTGGAGCAGTCTGTAGCAGATGCGGGATCGACTCTCGTTTGGGGGCCGTCTTGGGCTCGAAGACGGAGATGGTTCAGCGCGACTACAATAGGATTGCGTATTGCTTTAGTGAATCACGATGGATGAGCGCAAGTCTTGGGCACACATTCATCCAGATAGCGCTGTTCATTTTGCCGTGCGCATCGATGGGGGCCGTCTTGGGCTCGAAGGCGGAGATGGAACGCATCGGGCGGCTGAAGGCGTAGAGCCTCGAGAGGGAACAGCACAAGGGAGCTGAGGCTTCAGAAAATTTAGAGGTCGCGCGGCGGGATCCCCAGGGGGCACCCGCGCACTGGGCCTGGTGGCCGCGGCAGGCAGTCGCCATTTCGTCGAGGGCACGAGGCGCGATACCTTGGGAGCACCAGCACATGTTGGGCCTCGCGGCCGCGGCACGCAAGGAGGACGAGGAGGAGGAGGACGAGGAGGAGGAGGACGAGGAGGAGGAGGACGAGGAGGAGGAGGAGGAGGAGGAGGAGGAGGAGGGGGGGTCTGCGAGACGGGTCGGGAGCTCCTTTTCGTCAAATCTAGCAGCCCCAGTCTGCCGGGTAGAGAATGCATACGGATATTGTGATTCGCATGCCTTCGGCCCGCGGCAGTTGGCGGCTGGACTAGAGTTTTCGCTTCCTTGCGTTGGGTGCGGGGGGCGTTTGGACATGGGTGATGGACGGGTCGTCCAGGACGTAAGCTTGATTAGTTAGTGCGTGCTGTTCGTTAGGTGATGTGTGATGTCTCGAGGGTGCATCTGAGGGTCTCTGCACGGATGGCTTCTTCTCTTTGTTCGATGTTGGGAGTTGTCTTGGCCATCCAGGAAGCCGAGGGAGCCGCCATGATGGCCAACTTCGGGCAAACTTGAAGCCTCCTGGGGGACATCTTGGGAGCTTCCCAGGCCATCCTTCGAGGCCGATGGGGCATTTACGGCCATGTGGGAAGGTTTTGATGTCAAACGGACGTAACTAGTGTTGTATATCACAGTAGCTAGACACGCGGGCAAGCAGAAACCTCACGCGCAATCCGCATGTGCAACCCTTGTAAGTTTGGTCTTGCTGGAGGAGATCACGGACCGTCAGGTGGAGGCAGAGTTAAGACTTGTCTTCAGGCTGGTCGTTCTCCGTAGCCCGTTTGGAGGACCGTACTAATGGGCAAATGGTGGTTCTGTAAGTGTGGCATCGCGATTGGTTCTTGAGGAGGACATGGGGCCACCTTGGAGGCATATTTGAGCCATCACCGGACCTTGTAAGGACATCGTGGGAGCCATCGGGGTCGCACTGGTGGCATGAACCACTTTGCCCTCTGGGGCACCGTGGAGAGCCTCGGCGCATCACCTTAAGACGCCTTGGAGAAGGTCCAAAGTAGCTGCGCGATGTGTTTGGGTAAGCAAATTCGGTGGGAGGCACGAGACTTGTGGACAGCCATCAATGGAGAGGAAGCACGTTGCCAAACAATTCCCAGGTATCGAAAACATGGTTTGAACATGTCTTAAAGATGTAAACATATGAGTTTAGCATGTTTAGATAATTGTATCCAACATGTTTAGAGCATGTTTAAATCAATGATAAAACGGTTCGAATGTCCATTGTTATGGTATCCACAACACGAGACCTCATGCGCCGATGGCCCGTCAGGCTGGCGAGTTGTCGCGCGGATGGGCCACCGGCCTGTCGCCTTCGACATCGGGGCTTGTCAGGTGCGGATGGCCCGCCAGAACGCCAGGGCGAACGCTGTGAAATACTTGACGCTTCGCGCACTCCCCACCAGCCAATGCAGACACGATTCCCAGGAGGGTTGCTTGGATGAGGAGGCTGGAGGAGGTGATGAGTAACGAGGGGGGAGCAGGAGGAGCAAAGGGGAACACGAGCTGAAAGAAGAGGAGGAGCAGGAAGGAAGGGAGAGCAGCAGAAGGAGGTCCACGCGCCCTCCCAACACGGAGGCAGCACCCGAAATGCTCAGCACCCGCAGCGGTCGCCACAGGGTGGACTCCACGGGGAGCCGAGGCAGACGCCACGTGCGCGACGCTGGCGCGGAGCGCCACGCGTGCCGCGTGCGCGCGCCGCGCGCAGCATGTGCGCCGGGCGCCCCAGGGGGCGCCGGGTGCACCAGGTGCGCCACGTGCTCCAGGTGCGCCAAGAGTGCCACGTGCTCCACCACCTCCTCCTCCTCCTCCTCCTCCTCCTCCTCTCCTTCTCCTCCTCCTCGTCGTCCTTGTCCTCCTCCTCCTCCGCCTCCTCGTCCTCCTCCTCCTCTTCCTCACTCCTCCTCCTCCTCCTTCTCCTCCTCCTCCTCCTCCTCCTCCTCATCCTCATCCTCCTCCTCCGCGCCAGGTGCGCCAACCCACCATCCCTGTCAAAAACCTACAGTGGAGACCCATGCCAAGAAGCACCCTGCATGCCTCCAGGGTGCCCTGGGTTTCTTGGGTTTCGATTTTCTGCTACGGAAAGCGTAACGTTCCCACACTAAAAATCAATTGACGTCCTGGGGTCTTAGGGTTGGGTTCCTCGTGGAAGGTTTCTTGTGGTCGAGCCCCTACTGTATGCCAAGTGGCAGTGCGTTGGCCATCGTGGTGAGACGTATGTGCACTTTGTTTCGTTTTCATGGAATAGGGACGGTGTGCTCGCCCACACTGGGCAGCGTGAGTGACCCCAACCATCTCTGCCAACTGACAAGACAAAGTGATCGCGAGGCGCCCTCGCATTCTTTAATATTGTGCCGCTAAATGCATGTTACACAATGCTGTACATGCAAGGCATGTTTGGTTGGGGGGGCATGTTACAGGTTTGACGCCGGTCGGGTTGGGAAGAGGGAGTTGATTAGTCAGGATCAGACATGAATGCCTCTCGAATAATCGCTGAAGGGTTTTTGGAAGAGTGAAGAGCAAAATTGTTGTACCCTCTCTGTCCAATGGGCTGGCGGGATTCCCTGTGGTCCAGGGGGACTTGCGTAACACCTCCTTGGTCGCAGAGGCGCTCCTGCAGTCTGGCGAAAAGTTCGATGTGGTCACTGCGTGGGGCTTGAATTACCTGCCAGCGGAGGTGTTCGCCGTACTACTAGACGCCTGTTTCTGTCCTCTGGCGCGGGACTTTCGTAATGCCGGAAAGTTTCGGAGGGGCCATGGTTCCGGCATTACCGCTGCAGCAGCCACAGTTGTCTAGGTGCTGTAGCCGTCGCAACGCCCAGTATGTTGGGACATCGCGGCATTCGCGTTTCACGTCCGTCGCGGACTCGTCGTGGAATTCGTTGTCGGCGATGTTGGGTTGCATTGTAGTTTGCTGTCGTCCTCGCTGTGGTCCGTTCTCTCCCCCACACCCGCTTGAGCAAGACGGACGTGCCCCCCCGCCCTGACAACCGCCGTTCCGCCGCCAGGGACCAGAAACAGTCGCTGGACTTGATCGACGCCGTCGGTGCCGAGGATTTCGTGTGGCCCATGGAGTGCAGCCGGCCTCCGGGAGACCTCACGGACGCGCAGCGTTGGGCGAGGGGGCTCGCGGCAGCCCGGTTCGAGCTCGTGGACAGCGCGTTCTTCCAGAACGTCGGCAACCCGTGGACGGACCTGATGATGGGCCCGTTTTCCACCACCACCACCAGAAGAAGTTGGAGGGGGGGAGGTGGAGGACGAGGAGGAGGAGGACGAAGAGGAGGAGGAGGAGGAGGAACAGGAGGAGAGGAAGGAGGAGGAGGAGGTGGAGGAGGAGGAGAAGGAGGACCCCTCCCCCTCCAACTCGAGGTGGTGGTGGTAGACAGCAGGCCCATCACCTGAACCTCCTGGGCCTCACGCGGGTCTGCTTCCTGCAGCGGCGGACCCGCGGCCGGACCTACGGGTACCCCCGCATGGCACAGGCGTCGGCCGAAGATAATTACATGGACACACGCCGAGCCTGGCCAGGCCCACCTCTGGCTCGGGATCGGCGCATGCACCTCAGGAGTATCCCACACGATGGCATCAAGTCGTGAACACCTCAGTGGCATCCGTCAAGGCGTCAACACATCAGGAACATGTACCTATCTCCTCTACCCACCTCTCCACCATCCTCCCCCACCTCTCCACCTCTCCACCATCCTCCCCCACCTCTCCACCTCTCCACCTCTCCACCCTCGGTCCGTCCCGTCAACCCACACCTCTTCACCATCCTCCCCCCGCCGTCCAGACCACACTTGGCGCCAGGATCAAGACCCTCACCGCCCACCGCGAACCCATCATGGGAGGAGGGGCGCAGTGGCCATCGGGGGGGGTGAGCGGTCTGCATCGTGTACGCCTCCGCCCAGGAAGGCGCATGCACAAATCCTCTGCCAAGAGACGCGCTCGGCCAGGGTTTTAGACCCCCTCGAGTCATGAGAAAGTCACGACGGCCAGGTTGCTCGCTGCTTTCGGCCTTTATGGGCCCTTCCCGGGCTTCGGGACAGTCCAAAACCCGGCTTAGGATGACCCACCGGTAGCGTTGAAGGGGTCGCGACGTCTGGGGGCCGACGTTGTCACAAGATCGTGGCGTCGGGGTCAGGGGTTGGTGTACAGTGGGAGCCCATGCCGAGAAACAACCCTGCTTGCCTCCAGGGTGCCCTGAGTTTCTTGGGGTTTGATGGTCTTGCCATGGAGAGCGCGACGCTCCCGCACCAACAATCAGTGGACGTCCTGGGGTCCCAGGGTTGCCTGTCTTATGGAAGGTTTCTTGTGGTCGGGCCTCCACTGCACCTGGACGGCAGGGCTGGACCTAAACGGTGCTTTGGCGATCTCGTGGGCCGTTTTCGTTGCGACGCCGTTTTGCGGCAAAGGCGCATTGAAGACAAAACGAGGGAAAACGGAAACGAAACGAAAACGAAACACACGAAAGCGAAAACGAAAACAAAACGAAAACGAAAACGAAAGCAAAACGAAAACGAAACGAAAAACACCGTTTAGGTTCAGCCCTGCTGGACGGTTCTCCCTCCTTCCGAGGCGCCCCAGGGCAGCGCGGAGGGGCTCCGCCGCGAACGCGGGCGCCGGGGTGCCATGTACAACCAGAGGCCCGGGGACTTCGAGCAGATGGTTCGCATGGCGGAGCTGCGCGCGGCCGGCGCCGCGCGGGCCTAGCCCTCTCCTTCTTCCACCTCCTCCTCCTCCTCCTCCTCCTCCTCCTCCTCCCCCTCCTCCTCCTCCTCCTCCACAATTACTCAATATGAAAATACTCTCCCTCTTCCCCTGATGGCGTCCGGGTGATGGCCGCGCACCCTCCGCGTATTGTTTTTTACACACAGGATTCCCGGGAAATCCCGGGAAACGACTCTCGCTGAGGCGCCGGCGTCATTTTCGGGTCGAACGCCCCCCGCGTACTGTTTTTTAACACAGGATTCCTGGGAAACGGGTTTTCGCTTGCCTTAAAAAAAAAATGATGCTCTCGCTGAGGCGCCGGCCTCATTTCTGCTCCCGAATCGTTCCGAATCGTGCTCCCGCTGCAGCGTGGGCCTCCTTTTCGGATCGGTGTTTGGCCTCCGTCGTTCAGGATGGCGTTCTCGCCCCAGCGCGGGCCTCTTTCTCGCGCGCCCATCCGCCCGCCACCACCGCGCCGCACCAACCACCACCACCACCACCACCACAACCACCACCAGCACCACCACCACCACCACCACCAGCACCACCACCACCAGCACCACCACAACCAGCACCACCACCACCATCACCACCACCACCACCACTACCACCACCACCACCACCACCACCACCACGACAACCACGCACACACGCACGCACGCACGCACGTGCACCACCACCCACTACGCACGCGCGCGCGGAGCCACAGGTCCGCTACGACACGCGTCCGCGGATAGAGAAATCAGCGCCATGGTAAGGGATGGGAGGGAGGGGTAGGACGTCAGATATGACGCGAGCGCACCTAGCTTGTCCTCCCCCCCTCCT